GGGGAATGCTTTGTGTCTTGCTGGTTGTGTTCTGCCCAGCCCGTTTTTCCTGGATAGCACCACGGCTTCTAGGAAGGTCGCGGAGGATGTTTGCTGTGGAAATGGCCGTCCCTCTTTGTCCCAGAAGTGCCTGGATTTGGTCCGGCCACAAAGAGTGGTTTAGAAGAGTGGGTCTCGATTCCTGGTTTGAGTCTTGGTGTACAGCGGGGCTACTCAACTTTGGAAGCCCCGGGGGCCACAGTGATACTCACAGCACATGCTGAGGGCCGCATCTTAAGTGTGGTTGCGTATAAATCCATGCAAATATATGCAAATAGCTTCTTTCCCACTGACGGGCATGAGTACAAAGATAAAGGCAAGACTACACAACACACAGGCCTCATTTAAGTCAGTGTTGCTGATATTAATAAAGTGCAATATTGACCCGATTTCCAGCTATAGGACTGCATTTTTAATGAGCACTGGCAGTCCAGGAATTTAACTACTTATCTGCATATCAACAGAAGACCATTATACTGACTACTTTTTTGTTTTGGCTCCCACCCGCGGGCCCCGCATAAACCCAAACCACACTGCAGGCCACAAACTAACATGTTGAGTAGTCCTGGTGTACAGAAAGACTCAGACAGCCCCTCGTGTTCTAAGAGACTGTGATGTATTCTTGGAATTGGGATGTAAAATTCCGTTTAATCAGTGAACTGGTTAAACATTTAACGGGTTAACCACTTAACCGGGATCCCATGGGTGGGGGGCCCAGCTGGGCTGGAGCACGCCCCCCCCTCCCCCCCACTTCCCCGCCTGCATCAGGCAGGCGGCTGCACCAGCCCAACCAGGGTGCGAGCTAACATTCCTATCTTGGAATACAGACTATTCACAGTCTGTTCCCTCCCTTTGTGCTCACCTGCCAAGCCCCCTGCATCAATGCAAGCCGAGCATACTGGAGTTTTGCAAAGATCTAAAATGTCACAGGAGGGAATCGTTTTTAAGCAGCTTGGCTCTGTTGTCCTGTGAGGACCAGATCTAAAGAGTCCTGGATAACTGACGAATAACCAGGCACATAAACTTTCCTGGTTGTTGTCATCTTATTTGTGTGTGTGTTGCTGTACCAGCTAGATCAGGGCACTGGGCAAACGCAGACCTAAAAGACGTTCTCCAGCTCCAGCAGCTGGATGGACAGGGGGCTGAGTGGGGAATTAGAAAGCTTGTGGCAATGTGCTTCTTGCCGCAGACAGTTGAGTGTAGGAGTTAGGGCCAGTTGGAAGCTGCGGGTGGATGAGTGTTTGAGCTGAAATCATGCAATAAAATGTTCCTGATTTAATTCTTGGCTGTTTCATTGGGCCGGAAGAAATAGCAGATTTTTGCTCAGTGGCGTTTTGATTAGCTTTGCTTTCTTGCCCTGCTAGGCAGGTCGAAATCGCCGTGTTCGGATGTAGGAATCGGCCCCCATCCAAACTTGTTTGCAAGCATAACCCCCTTTCCAGCTGCACCATTTAACGCCCCCGTCACGCAACGTCGACGTCATTGGAGTGGTGTGGAAGGCATCTCGCTGCTCACGGTTGGGTTAGGGTTAAGTGGCAACGAATTTGAGCCCTCCCCTTGCAAAAGACGCCCCTGACCAAGGTTCTCTCCAGCTTCCCTGCGTGAATGGATTCCACCGCAGCAAGCCAATTCCGTTAGAGCTACCCCAAGTCTGTGGGCCCTTTGTCAGTCTAAGGCCATGGATCCTTGGTCTACCTTTCCCCCGCTCCTCTCAGATCTATAGAACACTAGAACTGGAAGGGACCTTGAGGGGTCGAGTCCAGTTCCTTGCCCTATGTATGTTTCAGACCAGTGGTGATCCCACCTTTCCAGACCCCTGTACTCTTTTCAGGAGTCTGATTTGTCCTGTGTACCCCCAAGTTTCATCTCATGTAAAAACTACTTGCTTACAGAGTCAGATCTAAAAATACAAGTGTCAGAGGGCACTACTTAAAAATTGCTTGTTTTTTAGTGTTTATCATATAATTATCAAAGAAATATTGTACTTATATTTTAGTGCATAAAGCTGTAATAACAAGTATCCTGGACCCTTTACTTCATTCATCCAAAGAAGTGAGTTGTGCCCACGAAAGCTCATGATACCCTCTGCATTTTTTGTTAGTCTCTAAGGTGCTGCAGGTACTGTTCGTTGTTTTTTTTTCATTTTTTTCAGTTAGGGTATGTCTACACTTGCTCCCTATCTCGAGATAGGGATGCAAATGGAGTGTACCGAAATTGCTAATGAAGCGCATGATTTAAATATCCCGTACTTAATTAGCGTAATCCTGTACAACCGCCATTTTGAAATCGCATTATTGCAAAATAAAACATCCTGTGTAGCAGCATTATTTCGAGAGAAAATCCTTCTCTTGAAATAACTGTTAAACCTCATTGTGTGAGGAGTAATAGTTATTTCAAGAGAAGGGTTTTGTCTTGAAATAACGCTGCTACACGGGGCGTTTTATTTCACAATTATTGCGATTTCAAAATGGCGTCTGGATGCGATCATGCTAATTAAGTGTGGGATATTTAAATCCCACGCGTTATTAACAATTTCGGTACACTCCATTTGCATCCCTATCTTGAGATAGGGAGCGAGCATAGACGTACCCTTACAGAATAACATGGCTACTCCTCCGAGACTTTTAAGTCACTGGATGAAATTTTAGTTTGTATTGACTTCACTTGGGCTTTTTATGTCGCCTGTTGTAAAAGAAAGCACATTTTAGATGAGTTGATGTACCCCCTGGAAAACCCTGGTGCACCCCCCCGGGGGTGCATGTTAATTGAGAAACCCCTCTGTAAAAATAAACAAAGGAGTGAAAAGATGAGTTGGCCCAACTCAATCGGAGGAGAGGAAAAACCCACGCTGATAGTCGGAAATTTCCCCTTTCACATCTCAACACTTCCCGGATTGGATCTGATTTGCGGGTGTCTTTCCCCTCCCTCCCCCCGGCTTTGTTACAGGCTTTCCCAGCCTCTCTGAAACTGACATTCCTTTTAGCACACAGCCCTAGCCCCGCGAATTTGCTGAGCTAAATATGTCTGAGCCAGTCTAGACAGGAGCTTACGGTTGGCTAGGAAAGCAGCCAATCCTAAATCGTCTCTTCTGGGCCCTGCCCTGGATGTTGTCGCCAGTTGCGAAGAGTGAGGGGCAATGCAGGAAATGAAGCTTTAAGCCAGACAGAGGCTATTTCTGTGGCAGGCATGATTTGGTAGCGAGGAGTTAATTGGCTGCCTCAGAGCTTGCGGGTTTCCAGTAGAAGTTGGAGTAGAACGCCTGGGATCGGATGATGGCTGGATGTTATTTATGCACCCAGCCTCTGCCTGCTGGGTTCTCTGGTTGCAGTTCATTCCTCCTCCTGGCAAGCTGGAGGCATTTACCCCAGGGGGCATTGGTTGTGTTTTGGCCCCCACTGGTGTACAGGGCTGTGCAAGGGATGCCCCTGTCCGCAGGGTTCAGTACATTCATGTCCACAGGAAGCATGTTCCATGAAGTTGGAGGCCGGTTCCCAGCCAGGGGTCAGAGCTATCGATGTAACTGCGTGCTCTGGCTCGGCTCTGGCAGGCACCGACACCCAGGGGCGGATTGTGCTGCCGGAGCAGCTCTTGTTCTAGCCCCGCCACGTGTCATGGTGCAGCTGTCCCAACTGTGACACCTGCGTGGTGCATTGTGGGAAAATGGTTAATATTTCGACTGTGCCCAGAGGCCCCGACGGGGAATGGTGCATGCGCAGAGCAGTTCGTGGGGGGGGGGGGGGGCCCCCGGGGGCCCCC